AATAATCGATTATTCACAATTAATTGTTTCAGCTGTACTCTTAGCAAAAAATAGTTTATTCAAGTATACTAAAAGTGCACTAATTTCATACTTAAAATCAGGCAGTGCGCTTAGAGTTTACTTATTATAAACTATATTTCATATACATAACAATAGTATAGTCAAGTGTAATTGACTATACTATTGTTTACTTTATTGTTTACTAAAGTATACTTTAAGTATACTTTAGTAAACTTAAAAATGTCCCAATTTAGTTCGAAGAAGTATTACTTTAGTAATACCTCAAGTACACTAAAAGCACATTAGAATTTACTTTAAGTATACCACTTTTTGCTTCTCTATTCTTTATTAACTTGTTTTTATCCCACTATAGTGTTTCAGTTCAATTAAGGTAAATTTATCCAGGTGTATTTTAACAAATTACTTTGAAGATTTTATAAATATAGTTTAAATTTAAATTGATTAATGAGATAAAACCAGCTTAGCTTTGCTTTCACAGAGATTTCCATGATGAATTTGCCACTCAAAACATGGCGGACATATCAGCAAATAGCAGGGCGGGTACACAAGGCCGTAAGTAACTGTGCAAAGGCGCAGATGTTTGTCGTTTAACCGCCGTGGTGAATTCAGCTAACTACACAGAGAGAGGGAGGCGCAGCCTTAAATATTTCTCCATCGATTAACTTTATTGCCTGACAGGGTTAAGACGTAACTTTTTGAAGGTTTAAGTCCTTTCGGACAGCGGCATTAACCGGAGCATAGCTGTTAGTAGTTAGCTAACGCTGTGACTCTTTAAATTATGCTATTTAATCTTATTTAATGTGTTTGACCGTTAAATAAGAGAAACGGGGAACAAACTAACACCAACACAGAGTATGTAAGTATAACATATACTTTTCGCATCTTTAAATATTAGCTATATGTGGTGTTTGTAAATTTTTCCGTGTTTACCAACATGCTAGCTGTGTTAGCATCTGGTGTTTACAGTAAAGATGAAGGTTAGCATCATCCTGTTTTCCACTGGTAGCTCAGCTGCTTCTGTTTTCTGTTGCTAATAGAACCAACAATGAACCAAGCAGACAGTTAGCATTCATGTAGAGCTACGTCTCACATAAACATCCTGGTTTTTCCATTAAAAATATAATAAACAGTGTGATTATGGAGACAAAATAAGCTTCAAATATGGGCGAAAAAAGCTTTTAAAAACAATTACTATAGAATCAATGCAACTACTGTAATTATAATTGATAAAATAAGATATTTAGCCTAAAACGATTGGTGGGCTCTTTCTGCTTTGCTGATGGGAAATGATCAGTTTCTGCTCCTGCTCCGCCCACTTCCACTGAGGCTGCACTTCCACACTAACCCATCCATCATCCATCCATCTATAAGCTCATCCATCCATAAACTCATCCATCCATCCATCCATCCAGATCAACAAATACTAGATATTTGTTGCAGTATTTGAGAAAGCAAAGTTTCAAGCAAAAGCAGCTTTTAAGAAAGAACAACTAAAAGCCTTCTCTACCAAAATTGATATATTTTTAGTTTGCTTTTCAGATGTTTTTATTTATTTATTATGGTTTTCTTCACAGTCTCTTTTCAGATGTTAAAAGTTGAATAAAAAACAAAAATGGAGAAATTCTATTTTACAAATTGCTATTAATAAAATCCAGTTTTGCAGGTTTGACTCTGTAAACTTTTACTACCCATAAGTATAGAGGTTTGGATCGAGATTTAAAAATATTACTTAAAAAATGAATCTGGATAAAATAAAAAATAATTGAAGAATAAAATCTGAAAAGATACAAGCTTAAAGAATAGCAAACTGTAAAAATATTGTTTGAAGTTTTAGATAAACATAAATTACTCTTAAAACCTTCAAGCTTTCAAACTCACATTCTAAAAATGTTCTTTTGTTAAAACGTGGTCTTTTCTGCTGATAATATTGAAATGAAGCTCTAATGCTGCATTGTTGTTGTTTTTAATCCATTAGTCATCAAATTTCATATTAAAAATGGATTTTAATAATTTATATTAAGCATTCTTTTCCCTGTGTGGATTAGATATACAATCTAAATATTGATTTAAGGAAAAAAAGAAAGAACCTGATGAACAAGTTAGACATTTTGGGGGTTTTCTCCAGAAAGGGCTGCGGTTCTTTTCTCCCCCAAACCAACATGATCATTTAAATGTCAAAAATATATATATATTTCTTAAATGCATCAAAATTATATCTCCTAAAAATAAAAAATAAAGGGTTTCCTTTATTTTTGTAATTTCCATTGATTTCATGACCGTAGATCTGTTTTCCTTTCTTTTTTATAAAACATAGAAAAATAAACATAATCAGTTTCAGTTGGAATAAGGAGATCACATAGAAAACCTGCAATGGAAAGCCTGATTGGTCCGTTTCTAATTAGACTTTTAATTTCCTGGATGTCAAACCAGCTCCTGCTGGGTGAGGGACGTCCAGTCTGTCCATCGGACCTGTAGGAGCAGCTCCAGAGGGTGATCTGTTGGAGCGGCTGGGAGTCAGGATGCCTCTGTTCTTCCGGAAGAGGAAGCCCAGCGAGGATTCCCAGAAGAGGTTGGAGCATCAGCTGTACTGGGTGAGAACTGGGCCGGGTTCTGGGCTGTGTGGAGTACGGAGGGAACTTTGCTCCAATATTGCTGCAATCAAAAAACACGTAATAAACAAAATGCAATCCAGAAATAAAACTGCTTAATAATTAAGGAGAGGTTTCAGGTGTCAACTTTGCTGCTTGTTATATTTTATTTTTCAAACTGTATGTTTTAAATTGTGTTGTCGACATTTATATTTTCAACGTTTTTTTATTTTTTTTATTTCTCTTTTTCAGATTGAGTTTTATGAATTGCATTTTTAAATCTAACGTCGCTAACGTCCAGCAGATGCAGTTTCTAAACAAAACAATTCATAAAACCCAATCTAAAAAAAAGAGAAATAATAAAAAAGATGAAAATATAGAATGAATAAAGAAAGAATGTTAAAATTGAAACCTTAGAAAACAGCAATTTTACTCTCGTAATCTTATTTGATAGAGAAGTTTTTTTATAGTCTGGAATTTTTTTCATTTACAGAAAGTTTTTTTTTTTTTTTCAAATTTCCATTAAAGTGCTTTTTTTTAATTCCATTTACAGTTTCTTTTTTTTTTTTATTTACATAAAGTATTTTCTTTCCTAATTTCTATTTACAAGATTTGTTTGCTTTTTTTCTTCAAATTGTCATTATATCATAAAATGTTTTATTTATTTTTTTTTCCAAATTTCCATTTACAACACACTTTCTTTGGTTACTTTTTAATTGCGTTTACATTCTTTTTTTTTTATATTTTCATTTGTAAAATATGGATTTTACTTTTTTCAAATCTTGATTTACAGGATGAATTTTTTGCTGGCAACAATAATAATAAAAAATTCCTTCCATAGTTGAGTTTTTTGGACGCCCATCTGAACTATAAAGATCAGCACATGTTGATTTTCTGCAGATAAACAAAATCATTATTTTTTTTTTTTATCTGATCTGCAGGCGAACCAAAATGGAGCCGGCGACATCCTGGACGTCTCCGGCTGCGAACTGGCAGAGGTGAGGACCAAACTCTTATAGTAGGAGCAGTTTTCCTACTTTAGCCGTTAGCTTGATGGGGGTAAGCTACCAGCTACTCAGAGTTAGCCCTAAGGCTAGCACAGCTAGCATTTCTTCTGCTGTTTCCTTCATCGTTTCTAAAAGCAGGCTCCTCAGTCCTCAGTTGGTGGATGATTGAAAACCATCTGATGGACTTTCTGGAACCTGCTGAGCCGGGCCCACCAGATCCGGCCCACAGGATCAGCAGAATCAATCCTAATCAAGTCTAGAGATGATGGCTGGATCTGTTTAGCTCAACATCCAGTGTTGGTTCTTCTTCTTTACTCTGTTTTCCTCTCCGTCTCACCTAAGAACAACATCTGGACCGTAACCGAACAGGTCCACTTGTTTGGAGAACAAAGGTCCAACATTTACTTGTTCTAACCTTTGATCACATCTTTACCTCTTTAGCATTGTGGCTCAGAGATGCTTCTGGGTCATTAGAAGATGTTGCTGCACATTAATCTTTATCCATGGAAGGTTCTAAGGCAGAATCTGCTGAAAGTCCAGTAAACATTGATGCTGCAGCTTTTCTTTAGATGCAACCACTGGGAGCAGAAGAGGAGAACCGTTTCAGCTCCTCTGCTCCGGCCATCAGTAGAATCAATCTCAGTTGGACTCTTTCTGATCGTTGTTTGACTCCTCGGTTTTGGCTGAATTTGACTACAAATGGAATCAGAAACTGCATTAAATGTCCCGTTCGGTTCTTTCCAGAATCTTTTATTAACCTGGAGGAAGCTGATGTCAGGAGCTTCCTCTATGTCATTTATTTCCCCTTTTCCTCCCGTTTGGTTGGTTGATCCCAAAGCTGTGAGTCTGTGGCGTATTTGGTGACGTCATCTGACCCTGTGAGCAGAGATTGTCCAAAAACTCAGAGTGAAACAGAGATCAGGAGCAGCTGCTAGTGAATCGAGCCTGCCAGCAGATTCTGTTCCCTTATTACAAACCAACCAAACCAATGGGCAGCTGGGATGGGAATTTCAGTTTAGATTCATAAAGCCACAGATTTCAATAACTCCAGGTCCGTTTCTCCATATGTGTTCCTGAGCGTTCTCGTGTCCTCGTGAAACGTCATCACTGTTCCAATTGCCGAGAACGCCAGACCGACAACGCCAGACCGACAAATCCCCGGATCTTGTTCTCGCCCCGCCCACTTTATGGAGTATGCGTCAGAGCAGACTCGTCCGTCCTTGAGATTGACAGCTGTCCCAGCATGCACTGCGGCAGCAGCAGCTTTCAATGGAGCGCTCCATTGAAAGTTTTCTGTTGCTGTTGTTCAATAAAAGTAAGTTTTAAGATAATTTCATCAGAGAATATTATACTTTAAAGCGTCACTATATGGTCCGTTTACCAATTTAATGTGTGATTTAAAAAAAGATTTCCAAATTGAGAGGACCGCAGCAACCAGCGGAGCCCTGAAGCTAACAGCAGCCAGGGCTAACCTTAGCCCGTCTGCAGCAGCCCTCGCTCTGCATTGCCGTGTGTGAAGGACCGCTGGCTATGATGGCGATTTTTTTTTTTCTTTTATTTGGCAAAATGTTCATTTGATTTCTGTTTATCTGACTATGTTCATTATTATTCCCCCACTAAATGAAAAAAGTAATAAATTATTATTATCTAGAGACTAGGGATGCACGATATTGGGATTTTGGCCGATATCTATCTATTT